AAATAAAAATTTAAACAAAAAAAAATTTAAAAATTAAAAAAAAAAATAGGTACCACTGTTATTTTGCTTCCCTCTATAAATCTGAAAGTTTTTAGAGAGCAGGATATGGGGTGGAGTTCTAATGTGGTCCCCAAGAACCTAGAATTCTCTGAGCGAGGGTGGTGGCACACCTGTAATCCCAGCACTGGGAAGCTGAGGCAGGAGGATTAAAAGTTTGTGCCCAGCCCAGGCAACTTAGTGACTTAGCAGAATCTTGTCACATAAAAAAGTGAAAAAGGGCTTTTTTTTTGGTGGAACCGGGGATTGAACTCAGGCCCTTGCACTTGCCAGGGAAGCGCTTATTCCACTGAGCTATTTCCCCGACCCCAAAAAAGGGCTTGGTGTGAAGGCCATGGTGCAATCCTCAATAATGCAAAAAGAAAATGTCCTCTTGGCTGGATCAGACCCAGGGTAGCAGGGTGAGGAGCACATAGACAGAGGTGGCTGGCACAACTGACACCAGGGACTTTCCTGTTCTAGGAGTCCTGCTGGCTCAGATACGGAAGAATCTGACCCTCATGGCAACAACCTCCCAACTCCCTAAGCTGCTGGTCTACTCCGCGGTAAGCTCAGAGCTCAAGCCAGGAGCCAGATTTCTTCTCTGTTCAGCTCAGGCTTTGGGGAGCAGTACTGATGGGCAGTCCCTCTTCCTTTTAGCACGACACTACCCTGGTTGCTCTGCAAATGGCCCTGGATGTCTACAGTGGTGCACAAGCCCCCTATGCATCCTGCCACATATTTGAACTGTACCAGGAAGATAGTGGGTAAGTAGCGCCAACAAGGTGTCCTCTGGGGTGGCACTGGGGTGTGGCTGCGTGGCAGGCATGGTGAGCAGCCTGTGTTGCCCATTGGCTCCAGGAATTTCTCAGTGGAGATGTACTTCCGGAATGAAAGTAAGAAGGCCCCTTGGCCCCTGCTCCTGCCTGGCTGCCCACACCGGTGCCCACTGCAGGACTTCCTTCGCCTCACAGAGCCTGTTGTACCCAAGGACTGGCAGCAGGAGTGCCAGCTGGCAAGCAGTACCGCAGACACAGGTGAGTGCCACTGCCTCTGCCAACCAGGCCGCAGATCAGCATTCACTTTCCATGCCCAAGTCTAGAGGGAGCTGTCACTATAGTCCATTTCTCTGGACAGTTTCCTCTTCTGCCTTGAGACCACTTTGTGTACCTGGAAATGATGTGCTCACTTCCTGTGTCGCCGAGAGTAAGAGCAGAGAGAGAATGCCTTCCCATCACAGGCCACAGCTCACCTGCTGGTGGAAGCCACTGTTGCTGTCCCATCTTTCCTCTGCAGGACCTGTGACACCATGTCCACTCCCACTGATTACAGCAATTCCAAAGCCAACAAAGGCTTAAGACCCACTTTTCCAGCTTCCCTATCTCTCTGATCCGTTTGGGAGTAGAATCCTCTCAAGAGTTGCCTGGACACTAGCTTCACCTCCTCACTACTCATTCTCTGAGGCCGACATTAATCTTCTGTCACCCTCCTGCCATGGTGCCAGTTCTTAGCAGCTTGTTGCCTTTCATCACCATCAAAGAACTGATCACTCCTTGCTCAGACACTCTCTTGGGAACTGAGGGTACAGCTCAGTGGCAGAGCACCTGCGAGGAACAGAACCTAGGACTGCAGAAATAAAACCTCAAATCCCACTCTCTTGGCTTCTCCTGGCCTTTCCCATAACTTCCAGGCAGCTCCCTTGCTGGCGTTCTGTGCGCTAGCACAGACACGGCCTCATCCCCGAGCTACACTTGTGTGCCTGGCTGCGGACTCAGAGCCTCACTGTGGACGTCCATTGAGCACAAGCTGGCTCACAGGAAATCCTCCAGAGGCTCTCCCAGCCAATGCTGCATCCATCACTGAGCGGCGCAGCAAAGCCTGAGGCACTGTCTCACTCCTACACCATGTCCGAGCCACCAGCAGGTCCTATGAGCTTAGCCTTCCCTGGCACGTGCTTGCTCGCCTTCCTGGCCCAAGCCAGTCCTGCTCCTGAGTTGCTGCCGAGTCCCTTGGTGTTCTCCCTGGTTTCTTATCCTTGCTCGTCTTCTCAATATGCAGTGGAGGTCATTTCTAAGAATGTCAGCTGGCGTATAACTGTACTCTTCACTCTCCCAATAGCTTCCTGTCACACAGAATGAAGCCCAGGATCTCTGCCACGACCTCCCAGACCCCCAGCTTTGCCCTAGGGACACTCACTTTGTGACCTTAGATCACGGCAAATTTATTCCTAAGCCAGGCCCTCTTGCATTTGCTTCCCGACCTCCACCTCCCACCCGACATGCTTAGGCCTGTTAGTTTTTGTTTTAGGGCACGTGAAGGCAGACCTAGGGCCTCTCCACTGAGTTGCATCCTTGGTCCCTCCCCATTTTTTTATTTTTTGAGACCCAGTCTCACTAGTCCCCAAGTTGTCCAGGCTGTATCCAACTTGTGATCCTCCTGCCACAGCAGCTGGGTGCTGGGATTAGGCGGTGTCAATGCACCCAGCTTCTGCTCTCAGGTCTCTGGGTCTCACCCACTGTCACTGGTTGGTGCTCTTCTTTGGTGCAGCCTTTCCTGGCTTACCTACCGCACTCATAGCCCTCATCACCGAGGTGTCTTTTGCTTGTGTGCTGGAGCTCCTCCTCCAAAATGGAAATCCCACAGGGCAAACTGTCTTGGCCACCTGTCTGTCCCAGTATCAGAGCAGCACCTGGCACATGGTGGCAGCTAGGTGCTTGCAGGGTGACCCTAACGTCCTCTTTCTCCCCCTCTCTGTGCAGAGGTGATTGTGGCCTTGGCCGTGTGTGGCTCCATCCTCTTCCTTCTCATCATGCTGCTCCTCACTGTCCTCTTCTGGACGCAGGCCCAGCCTCCTGGCTACCGCCACGTGGCTGACGGGGAGGACCATGCCTGACAACCACTCGGCCCCCTTCCCACCGCCTCCTAGGGAAGTGGGCTGGCCCTGCTCTTGACTGCTGCTGCTCCCAGCCCATGGGCAGGAGGCTGGGTTGGGCCTCCTGACTCCCCAGCCCAGGTGAGCAGCCGGGCTTGGTTTGGCCCATGGGCCCGTCACCTCGCTGACCAAGTACTGCGTGGGACATTGGCGTCTTCTGACGGACTTGCCTTTCCATCCTCCCTGAGGTGTGCACAGCGCTCATCTCACTCAGTACTTGGGATAAAAAACCCCAAAGAAGTTGGTGCCCAATCTGCTTTGCTTCTCCACCACACCCTGCTCTCTCCCTTCTGGTTGGAGTTTTGGCAGATAATTCAACAGGACATTGTCTTGCTACACAGTGCACGTTTTAGAGGGAAAAACTGCACAACTGCACGACACTGGGTTCTAAACACTGGCTACCCAGAAATCGGATCTCTCAACAACCAACAAGCCAACTGTCTCGTGTCTGGCAGAAGCCGCCATTAGTGTGCTTCGAGCACCTTTGTCACCGGAGCGTGAGCAGGCTGGGAGGGTGTTTGTATTTCATGGGGAGGGAGTCTGGGGAGGTGGGAGGGAGTGAATTGAACTGAATCAGGAACCCACTTTCCCCACCCTGGTGCTGGGGAACTGGACCACTGCTGACCATGGCCCAGAACAGGGCTATGGCAGTTTCCGGAGAATGAAGTTTTGGATCACGAGTTCTGTTTCAGCGCCTGTTCTTCAGCTCTGAGACCCACAAGGCCTTCTGACCTGGGCAGCGTTAGGTTACTCAGCAGCATGGTTGGGTAGCGGTTGGGTAGTTTTATTGGCCGTGTCAGTAATGCACACAAACTAAAACACCCACCACTCTGCCACCATGACAGAAGGGACAAAACCACTGGCTCCGAGCTGGATACAACCCAGGGGTCACCTTAAACTTTTGGAGCCAAGTGCACATCACTGAAAAGGTGGTGCCCCTGCACAAACCCTAACATTGGGCACTTTTCCCCCTTCAACAAACAGCTGCCTCTTTTCCCACAGCTCGTCCCCACGTGAGGACTCCAAACTGTTGGCCTCTCTGGCACTCGTTTTGTTTCTATGGCCCAGCTTCCTCCTGGCTCCAGACGAGAACGTGGTAACCTGGGAGTGGGGGGAAAGTCCGTGTTGGTCTCCCACTGCCAGGCTCTGGTGCCTTGGGCTACCCCAGGGAGCCCAGCACTTGGTAAGGAAATCCTAGCAACTGTACAGCTGCCAGACATTGCCACTACCAGGCCAAAGCAAGACGATGAGGGCCTAGGCCAGAGACCACTGTGTCCCTGTCACCTTGCCTGGCTGCTGTCCTTGGGTGAGTGCAGCAGGGCTGACCTCACACTGCACCGAACCTTGGAAAGCAGGGCCAGGCTTGGCTAGTCCCAGATGCACAGCTGCTACTCACCCATGGCTGAGGCCAGCGTGTCCCCCATGGGGTTGAACTCATTGAGCTGCAGAGACAAGAGTATCAGTATGAGCAAGCTGGCGGGCACTGATAGGGACAGGACACATAAGGACTCACGAGTCAGGAAGTGGGCTGACCCCAGTTTCCTCCCCTTATGAGAGGGCCTACGTCTCACCGAAACGATACCAGAAGATTCTGGGTCGTAGAGCTGACACAGCAGCTTCCCAGAGTTCCCATCAAACACATCAACTGTCCTTGACTCGTAGGGAATACAACTTCTGAAATTAGGATCTGGGTACCGGCCCACAACGATGAGGTTGTACCGAGGATGCCATGTTGCCTAGGAGATAGAGCTGCTGGTCACAAGGGAACTGTGTTCAGAGGAACAACAAAAGGATGTTCTGCCACTAACAAGCCAGCTGCTTAATAATGGAGAAAAGACCTCCATGAAACTGCAAGGCTAGTTTTCAACGGTGTGTGCCATCCACCAATGCAAACTCATGATCCCAGCTGGCCTCCCTGTCCTTAGGACCCCTTAAGGCCTTTCTCTTGCATTTCCTGAGTTTATACCAAATAACCCAGCCTTCAACAGAGCAAAACCTCTGCTAAGCAAAACCTAATGGCAAAGTTCTGAAGTATACCACAAGCATAACCCAGAGTGGAGCATAAAATCACTAGTGCTAAAAAAAGGAGCAAAGACTCCCCTTTCTCCAAAACCAATCTGGCAGTTTAATGACAAAATGGGATGGGATTTTCCTACCATCCCCAGGGACTTGTGAAGGATGAAAGCCATGGTTAGCAGGAAGGAAGAGATGGTGCGTGCAATGGCTTGGGAATAAGTTGCTGACAAATGACAGGAAGTCAGCTTGCCTGGATGTGCGGGGAAATGAGGACAGACTGATGAGCAAGAACACCGAGTGTACAAGATTTTGGGTACTGTTTATTACTGGATTTGACTGTAGGTGCTCAGCGTAATGTAGGTGAGTACTTACCGGTGCTAGGCATGGTGCAAGTGCTTTCAGTGCACTGGTCATCGTCGCGCCCACCCTACCAGTTAGACACTACTACTCCCTTCTTACAGATGAGGACATGGAGATCCAAACTGGGGAGGTAGGGGGTATAGAAAGACAAACTAAGGGGAAGGTTAGTGTGTGGACGAACTGTACATACGGGGAACCATAACTGTGAAGATGGGACTGAGGGTCAAGAGCACAGGAAGTGGCCAGGGATGAGCTGAAAAGACTCAGAAAAATCGCTTTTCAGATTAAGAAAATCTGGAATGGCATTGCAGGAGCAGGCCAAAAGGAGTAGGCTGAGTCCATGGCCGAGGCTGTTGTGTCTGGACGAGAAGAGGTCTGGGTCGTGGGTGGGCAGCACTTTCACTGCCCTCGCTCTCCCAGGCCGCAGAGTCAGTCCACGATCCCTCCCCAGCCTCCTCACTCACCTTGATGGGGGTGAGGTGCTGGAAGTGGCGGTGTGGGTGCGCGATCAGGCTCACGGGGCAGTCCCACTGGGAGGCAGAGTAAACCCGGATCTCATTCCGCTGGTCAGTGGTCAGCAGCCGGGCTCCATCAGGGCTAAAACAAGCTGGCAAAGTGGAAATCTCTTAAGCCTGAGGAACCCCAACCCCTGTCATCCTTCCTGTCACAGGATGGAGAGGGAAGGGTAGGAGAGAAACGGTGAATCTGGGCTACGAATGAGAATTCTAAAAACTCGGCAGCCCACAGGGATAGCCACAGCCCGTGTTTCTAGGACATGAGTGTCCACAACTTGACCACTGGGCACAACTTGATCTTGTGGCTCTTAACCTTTGAGGAAAACCCCAGCTTGGTGAATCAGGTAGTCTGCAATGAAATCTAGGTTGGGTGTCACACACCTGCGTTGACAGGCTGGCTATGTGGCAGTGAGTACAGGAAGCTGTCTTTCCCTTTAACCTGGCGCAGGTCCCAGAGTTTCACTGTTTGATCTACGGAGGCTGTGGCCAGTAACCACTCACAGCAGGGGTTCAGAGCCACATGGGTCACTTTCTTTTTGTGCAGTCTGAGATTCCAAAGCTGCAGACAAGAGCCTGGATCAGGGGGTTGAACTGGCTGTGGGTAGGGGCTGGGGTTTGGAGAGCGCACCTGCTTGCCATCCGTGTTCAGCAGGATCACGTGGCCCACATTGTCTCCTGTGACCAGCACTCGGCTACTGGCAGACACATCCAAGCTGCAGAACCAGATGCTGGAGGGAGAGACTGCTATGAGACGCTGGGGACCAAAATGGGTCTGCTTATTCACTGCAGCTGCGCCAGCCTCTGGCCACAGTAGGCACTGAATAGGTACTAGCCGAGTCACTGAATGGTCATCCTGCCATGGAGTCCCAGTGAGGAACACTCATACTTGTCCTCTGCCCACAGAGAGAATGGGGTGATGAGACTTGGAAATGGACCCATTCCTGCCAGGCCTGACCTCAGGCCACAGCCCAAGTCCGAGGCCAACCTGCCCACTGGAGCCTGCTTCTAAGGAAGCCTCACTCCATGTTCTCTCACCATCCCTCTGCACCCTCTAGGCCAAAGGAGACAACAAACATAAGCAGGAACTGGGCTGCTGTGTTTCCCACAGCTGGCTAGAAAGGAGCGTCTGCCCCCTTCTGATCAGTGAGGGAAACACACACACATCCCAGAAGCGCTCTGGAGGGTATCCTGGCCTCTACCAGGACCTCTCTGATTCCCTGTTCCTCTGAAATCCTCCAACCCTTTCGCACTGCCTTCTGCCCTCCCATGCAGTGTCTGGAGGCTGCCCAGCAGCTGTCCTGATACTCCTGTGACAGTCACAAGCTAGGTGGGCCCCTGCACCTGTGCTGCTCCTTGTGTGTACCAGTTAGCGCCTTAGCTCAGGTCAGACAGCAAAATGACTACTTCTGTCTGTGTCCCTACCACCTGCTCCCTCCAGACCATTTTATACATCCAAGCTCCTACCGAAGGTCTGGCGAGGTCTCTACACCATTCATACTGCACTGTTGCAGGGGCTTCCTAGGCCAGCACCTGGGTGACTGTCCCAGGAAAGTCAAGGCCTTGTCTAATATACACACAACTTCCAAAAGCGCTGAAGTGCCACACCACCTCCCCAAGGCAGAACCCCATTGGGGCTGATGTTCACACAGTCACCTAGAGGGCAGCAGAACACTGGCAAGTGTCTGCCACCTTTCCTTCTGCCCCTGTGCCAGGCAGGTCCAGGATCTTCTTGCAGATCAACCCCCGGTGCTTAGAAGCGAGCTACTCACTTGCAGCAGTCGGTTCTGGCAAAAACCTGGATGGTGCTGCCTCCAAAGTCCTGCAGCCTTGTTGTTCCCTCCATGGAGCAAGCATAGAACTGGTTACTGTTGAGAAGATTGAACTTCAGCCCCATGATGCTCCCCCCAGCTCCAACCTGACACGAAGAGGGGAAAAGCCAGTGAGGAGAGATGCCCTCCAAGGCACTATTTTTTTCTTTATTTTTCCCATAATTTTATTGAGAAACAAATAGCAATGAGACAGTTTCAAGCCAAGTTGGTAGGACAGTTTCAATAATTAACACATTGCATACATTCTTCCTAGTGGTTAATTATCTTTTTGTTTTTACAATTTAATATACAGTAATGACTGGGGAATACAGTTCTATGAGTGTTCACAACAGTTCTACTGTCCCCCACAATTCTCAGCCAAGCATGGTAGTGCACACCTGTAACCCTAGCACTTAAGAGGCTGAGGCAGGAGGACCACCACAAGCTTGAGGCCAGCCTGGGCTACATATTGAGACCTTGTCTATTAAAAGAAAACGAAAAACGGGGGGCCTGCCCATTAGCTCAGTCGTTTAAGTGACTGCTTCAACAAAGCAGTCAGGCTCAGGAGGCTGTGGTTCAAATCCCATATCCTCAAGCCCTGCCAGACCTGCCCTAAAGGCATCCTGAGCCAGCCAAAAGAACCCACAAAAAACAAAAAACAAAAAACAGAAACATACAAAAAAATACACCTTTCCTTTCTCCCTGTGAACCATACCCTTCCCTCACTCCCAGCCCTTGGCAAGAGCAGATCCATTCTCCACCAGTGTCACTGTGGCTTTCCCTTTATAGAATTCACAGAAATGAATCACACAGTTTGCAACTTTTGTTCAAGCTGTCAAGTTTTGAGGTTGCCTCAAAGTCTTCATTTTTTCATTTCTAGGAGATTCACCCACGTTCCTTGTGTGGACAACAGTTCTTCCCTTTTCCTTCCAGTTTATTATTTTTACAGTATTCATCTTAGGCAAGCTCTGGGTCCCGGGTGGGCTGGATGAGGAGGGCAGCAGTGAGCCTGATGTCACCTCCTACTGTCCAGAGCACCAGCTGTGGAGATTTGCAGTTGTGCCAGGACTGGGGTGCGGCTCAGCAGTACTGTGCCTGCCTACCATGCACAAGCCCCAGGTCCCGACTCTGGCACAGCCCCGCCAAAAGTAATACATGCAAAAAGCGGACCCATTACAGTATCGATGGCTTAGCCTTATGAGGTGCTTCTCAGCTGCCAGCCTGGCTTACCAGCTCTGCATTCCCAAGGGCTCCTTCTGCCACTGGTCTCTAGCCTCTAGACTGAGCAGTGTCCCCCCCATGATACCCACTTGGCTCTTTACTGTCACAGCTGGCCAGCTCCAGCGCAGCAGTACCTTGTGCTGCCGCACCCTGGTCTTATACCCCTACCAGCTGATCAGGCTTCCCTAGTCCCTGCCAAGATGTCACGGTCCCCTCCCCAACCCTTGCTGATCAGCCGCAAAACCCTCCTTCCGGGCTCAGCAGTCACTGCAGCCCCTACGCTGACACCCTGCCCTGCTTGCTGGGCTTCACCCGCTATGGAAGCTTTCCTGGTTGACCCCACCTGATGTCTTTTTTTTTTTTTTTTT